TTAAAAGAGAAATAATAATTATTAATATAAATTACATTAAATTCAAAATTTAATGATGACTAATCAAGCAATAAACTTATCACAGCATGTTGTAATTGATTGTATTAATTTTTTATCTAAGAATTGTTAATTAAATTTCCATCAAAGAACATAAAGAATCAATTCACAATCATTTTATTAAGACAATCTATAACTCTTCTTAGGGTTTAGAATTTACACCAAAGCATTTTAAACCTGTAATTCCTTTAGAAAAAAGCATTAAGAATACAATATCACAATTAATGTACCCATTATTTCAAACTGAAGGAAAATTCAAAATATTTACTTAACCAATCTATATTAACTTTGGAAATCCAATAAATTTTTAATGCAATCTTTATAATACTCTCAAATTTAGCGATAATTTTAGTTACCTTGATCAATATTAAAACAATAAGAATTTAATAGATAAATTCTAATCAATAACTTAAAATCATATTTATGGTAAGAAAATGCTTGAACGGGCAATGACTTGTTTTTTTCGTTAAAATACTTCAAGCATTGACTAGGCTAGGTTATTAATTTGCTTATACTTTTTAAAAAGAAACCTCCATTATTAAAAGCCATCAATTCCCAATTAAATCCATAAAATTGATGTCATAAAAAAACTACAACCCCCTAATTTATCCTCTAATGGCTTAAATAAGATATAAAATAGACTCATAAAGATTGATGGAATTGTAATGCTGACAGTTTGAAATATTCCGTTTCAATCTGGGAGTACACTTCATTTGAATAAATGACTGATGTATTTAAGAACTTGATCAATAGAATTTGGCCTTGCGAACTTCTATTGAAAGTGATGTTTATCATCAAATTTAATTCAGATTAATTAAATTCATTAATCTATGAAGTATCTTGAGTTAATTAATAAGACTGATCAACTTATTCAATACTTGAACTGCTTGAAATATGTAAGGATAGATAATCTTTAATTTGAAAGCCATCAATTCTAACATTGGGAGTGGTATAAGATAATTGAAACAATCTGATACCAGAATAAATCTAAGAAATGTCTGGGCTCTACATTAATGGCTTTGGATATTTTGGTAAGATACTTACACAATTCAAAAATATATAATTGTTTTCTAGCTTACATTAATCATCACATCCATCACCTTTAACAAGATTCACATCATCGCATTCCTCTTCTTTTATTCTAACCTTTGTTCCACATTTATTTAAACAAGTTCCATTTATTTCGTCTGCATAATATCCTAATTCACAAACTGAACATTTAAAATTTTTTTATTAAGCAAACTTGAAACTTATACAATATAAGCCTAATAAATACACTCCGAACCATTTATTGAACATTCAACCATTAAAAGCAAATCGATTATAGTATTTTATTAGAACAAGAGTAATTCTAATCAATCTTACAATTAGAACAACCATCTCTATTTATATAATTTCCATCATTACATTCTTCTCCATATTTCCAAATTTAATCTTTACAATCCTAGTATTTACAAATTTCTTATGATTTATCCAATTAATCTAAACATGAAATTCAAGCTTCACTATCACTTTCAAAATAATTGTCTGTACACGCACATCTATTATTATTATTAAAATTTGATTTAATTTTTATTCACAACTCAGACAATGAAATTAATTGTTGATACAAGTTAAACATGTTTAAAAACATTTAGAAACTATTTTAGTTCCAGAATTAACCTGGACTGCACATACATTGAAAATTCGAATCTAAGTTTAAATTAGATATAGATCATCAACATGGACATGATTGTTTTGATATTCATTATCTTTTTGTACATAAAAATGTTTCTAAATTTTTGAATTTGGGAGAAATTAAAGACAGATCTACAATTCACTATAAAAGCTCCCACTTCTGACATATTGTTTTACTTAAACATAATATTTCCTATCACTATCTGATAGCCTAAAAACCCTTTTATACTAATAGCTCTTATCAAAGTAGTTGTACTTAAGGACGATAATATTGTACTCTTTTTGGCTAATTTTTAGCATCCATTGTTCTGCTTATTCTCTAATATTGGAAAAATGAAGTTTCATCAAGAAAAATTATTTGGGTTTGCCCATTAGAAGTTTATTTCAGTAGTCAGATAATGTTAATAAATTTTTTTGTTTTTTTATTTTAATATTTTTGTGAAAACAATTTTTCAAAAGGAGAAAAAATATTTTCCTTAACTTCTAAGATAGCTTGCAAGAACGGGAATAGGTGCAAAAACAGGGCTAATTTTGAAAAAAATTTGTATAAGATATTTCTGATGAATTTAAAAAAAAATACTAAATTTTTATTTCCCTATTTTGTTATTTAGGAAAGATCAATACATTTATATAATTTGGATTGATTGAGCTCTCCTATTTATGGTGGTTTTTAGACTCAGAATGTATCCATTTTGGGCAACACTTTAAATTTCTTAGGAATAAGATAATAATACAAGTAATACTAGAATTTTTATTTTCATCTATTTTTAAGTTACTAGAAAATATTATTGAAAAGTTGCAATGTTTAGAAGAGGTTTACGATTTAAAATAACCATTCCATACATTTCTAAATCTTTCTTCCTCTTTTAGATCCAAATTAATAGTGTTTGACTAATACCTAAAAATGATATATATTACACATTAATGAATTATTATAATTTTATAAAGAAATTTATCCTATTACATTTTTATTTTCTCTATATTGGGAATTCTAGAATAATTTTCTAAGAAAAGGTTTTTATCATTAAATTTTATTTCTACATTTCCTTCCTATATACCATAAAAACAATTAAATTGATTTTCACTCTGATTCATAGACTTCTATGTTCTCAAAAATGTTCCATGATGAAAAATCTTCTTAAAGAAAGATATCATTAACAATAATCTTAAATTCTACATAAATTCAATAAATTTTTTAAATAAACTAATTTTGATAATAAACTAAAAATAATCTCCAATTCCGAAATATTCTATCAACATTATTGCATTTATGCAATAAATTAAGTTATAAATATTGTTTAAACTTCAGAATAAATAATAATAATAATAATATATTTAGAAATAATTTTATAATAATAATAGAAAATGTAATCTTCATTCTTATACACATAAGATAATAATATTCAAATTCATAATTGCAATAAAAATAGCATGAATATAATATTAATAAACTCAGATTATTCAAACTTATTTATAATTAGATTTATTTTAAATGTATCTCTAAGTCTATTAGTTTCTTATTTTGAAAATGAATAATTAATTTCCAATGAATAGCCTATACAGAATTATAATTTGACAACTCAGTTATTTCATCCTTAGAAACAAAGTCAAATTATGTAGGACTAATGTTAAATCAGACATATGTGTTTATAAGTTATTTGATTCTTATTATTTTTTGCGAACTGTTAAGAATTGTTATAATGTATATTATTCTATATTTGTTATTGGCGAAATTTTGTGAAAAAATTTAATTTATATATTACTTTTATTTTTATTTTGTAATATTTATTTTAAATGAGTTTATTTAAAGGATGTTAATTGCACAACATGGAAATCAAATATATTTGCGCTAATGCTAAATGTTCAGGTTAAAATTCATAACTTTGTGCTAATTGCATTATTCTTAATTGCCATTAAGAATGCTTTGAAAACAATTTAATTATTGCTTCAGAAAAATTTAATTAGGTTATGAAGAAAGTATTGAAAGAAAAGGTAAAAGAAGATGATGGTCTTCTTAGTCTTGAAGAAACTATGAAAAATTTTTTAAAATTGTATGAAGAAGTAAAAATGTATTTTAAAATTAATAATTATTAGAAATGCTGTTAATCGAAGAAAAAAATACTTAAAAATTAAACAAAAGTTTGAAAGATTCTCCTATTTCAATGAACCAAAAGATTTATAATTCATTAAGTAAACAACTTTTTTTAATGAAATTAATTTTCATATGTCACTCCAAGATAATAAAAAAGAAAAACCATTACTAAAATATATTACATAGATTGACAATTCTCTAAAATCAATACAAGACCTTTTTGATGAACATTTAGTATAAGTCTAAGAATAAGAATAAGAATAATAGTAATAGAAATTGCAATAGTAATAGTATTAGTAATAACAATAAAACTAATAATAGTCTCAATCATAAAAATAACCTAAAGTTGTCATTTAAAAATCAGACTAAATTTTCAGATAAAATTAAATTGAAGACTTGTAATTTAAATCCTAAATAAAATAAAACAAGGAAACCTAAAAAAAGAGCAACATAATAGATTAACAATAATAAGGAATAGTTAAAGAAAGTAATTTTAGTTAAGTAGTTCTTGAAAATTAGGTTGAGCATCCCTTAAATAACTAAATCATAGAATAATAAAGTATTAAATAACAACAGGAACAATCCTTATCATCATTTAAAATAAATAATAATTCTTAATATTAAAATAATTAGCCTGAATCTGATAAAAGCCTTATAAAATAGTAGGAGGTGAATCAATCAATAATAATGTTACCATAACTACCATAATCAATGTCAAGTATCAATTTTTAAAATGTTAATTCTGAATTTGTTACACCCTTATAAAATAGACATTAATCTATGATAAATACTTATGATAACTAAATGAAAAATGAAAAATATAAAATAGAAAAATCTGGTTTAAAATATAAAAGTTGTGTGGGTTCAGATTTTAATAAGTTTGCAAATACTCCAATAACTAAAATTGTAGTAATAGATAAAAAGAATTTGATATATTTAAGTGAATAAAAATTGGTTTAAACTAATTTAGATTAAACCTACAAAAAAGAAATAACAATATAAGAGTTAATTTTGGATTTTCAAAGAATAAATAATAGTTAAATCATTGTTCACACTAATTAAAGTTTACTTTTATTAAATAAAGAGTTAGATTTACTATTTAAATATGTCAAAGTGATTGAAAAGAATCACTTAACTTTTTATAACAGCTTTAAAATAAATTGTTATTCTACAAACGCCGTTATTTATCTTAAAGATAGCAATAAATTAATTGGATGTTAAATAAACTAATTGTCTATCATTGAATAATGGGAAATTAAATGGAATGAATATGAAGAAAAACTTATATCTATGAAAGTGATTTAAGATAATTTACACATTGGCTTAAATAGTGGAAAAATAGTTGTTTACGATATAAAGACATTGAAATAAGTGAAATTATATAAAATTGAAACAAATAATTACTCAACAGAAATTAAAGAAATTCTTTTTGATGAAAAATTTTGCTTAGGAATTTATGAGAATAGGATTTATAGATTTAATTATGGCAGTAATCAAACCTCTTTATTATGTTCTACAAAAGAACGAATTATAACTTGCGCATACTGTATTGATGATGAAAAGAACAAAACAGAAATTCATATTTTGAAAGATAATCAGGTAATAAATTTAAATCAATTTAGAAAATTAATGTATTCTTTAAGAAACATGATCAAATTTTTGAGTAAGGTAAATAATAACAAGGAGTTTTATGTCTAACCTGCTACTTAGATTATAAATAACCAAATTTTTATTATGGTAAAGGTGATGGAAGAATATATTGCTACTATCTTTGGAACAAATGATTTATTAAGTTATAAATTATCATTGCAAATTCTTTTTTTATTATTTCGAGCATAGATGTACTTATATTTAAAATTCTAATCCTATGTCTTTGAGTTCGCCCATTCTTAATTTATTTCAGCAGTCAGATAATGTTGAATGTTCTAATAATAAATTTTTTTGGGGTT